CATTTTTACGAAACATTTTAAAGTATCCCTTTTATTTTTACCTGTGCATTCAAAGATACAAACTTACTCGATACAAACTAAACGTTAACACAATCAATGAAATATAGTTTCCATTATATTACATTGTAAATACCTAAATTTTTATGTAATCATAACGTAATCATTAAATATGAATACGTTACAGCTTGATAGCAAGTCTTTTCTTCTTTTTCTTTTTTTTTTTAAAGTTTTTGAACACTTTATTCTAAACTAAAATTCGACAGGTTCGACTTATAAATAATTTACACGCGAAAAGTACAATTTTAATCGTATCGAGAAATAATAATAACTTTGTAAGAAAGAGCCATGACAGTCAGTTCTGCGAGATCGTTGTATAATGTATTTTTATCGGTATTATTTATTACAATTATTTGTACTTTGTAACTTTTAAGAGCTATAGAAAATACACAACAGAAACATATGAACAGCAATATTGTAACAGTTTTTGCTAACGCGTTACAAGATTATCATATTTAATAAAATATATAAAAAAAAAACACAGGAACACGAAATGTAAACGAAACGTCGAGAAAATTGTCAATAAAAAGTATTGACGTATATATGTCTAAGGACACGTGATCATTGATGGAAGAATAAAAATCAAACGCTGCATTATACGGTTATGATGAAAAATTATATTGCATAATACTGTTGGCTATGTAATACGTTTTTTCGTACTTACGAGTAAGTTTACCTGACTTAAGTGCCATGCTTGTACACCTCGAAAGACATCCACGTGACACGTACAACTTAACACTCTACCCTTATAAGATTTGATTAACGTTAATTGTTATATCTAATTCATTATTACATTGCGTAAACAAAAAACATTTTAATAATAGCAATATAAAATATTTACAGCATATAGTGTATATAAATTGTTTACAATGTCTGTTTCAATGGATGTCGCACTTTAATAATATCGTAAAATTTTCGAGGAACTATCGTATTAATTGCATGTAGCGTTAAAGAAAAGACAGGAAGTTAAAAAAAAGAGGTTCAGAACATTTTTCGAATCTTTTGTACCATAAATTACAAAAGTAACGATAGATGTATAGCGAGTAATTAAAGTGAGTCAAACATTGTTTTACATTCCAAAAATGTACTTCGATCTATAATTGTTAGTTTTTCTTCTTTCATCTTTAATGTTAACACGTTGTTAAGCATGTACGCTCCTTGAAGGCTCTTGTTAATGCTGCTGCGAGCTGCTGCGCGTCAATTTCACTTCTTAGCGAAGTGATTAAATCAAAGTGATTTTCCTTCAAAATTGAGTTCATAATTGAAAGTCAAAAATTTAATTTGAGCTGAAAGTCTATTAAAAGACACTTCCGTCTACGATTACGCTGTTAATTATTAGCACTGAAGACTTGAGCGGAAGGAGCGCATATATTTTTAACATCGTATTTCAAATAGGTGCCTAAATGTCTGATTATTATCTTATAAGAATTTACAAGAAGCATTATTACGAATCGATCAAGAGTACGAGTGTATTTTATGTTTAAGGTCTTATTGCAAATAAGTTTAAAAACTCAATTACGTCTTCAGTAGTGTCTACAAAACGGTACATCGTGTAATTATTCACTTGATCGGAATTGAGAATTATCTTTTTCGGTAACAACCGAATATAACAATTATATTTCACATTTTATCGATGGTACTACATAATTTCGCCATTCTCAGGCTGTTTTTAACTTGTGAGACAAGTTAGATTTTCTGCGAGTTCTGTCCGTCACTGAATAAACACGAGTTTTCAATTTTAAACGCTTGTACAGAATGTCAAAGTGGTGTTTGTACAAAACGTACACGTAGGTTTAATAATGGAGTCAGATGGATATTAAAAAACGAATACTCCAACGTCAGAATTACCTACAAGAAACGTGTATAAATATTATAAATACGAAATATAAGTTAAGTATAATTACACTGTACTAGACTACTCGTTGAACAAATGCGTTTGTTAAATATTTTGTCTTCTTTCGAAAGAGTGGTGTACTGTTTAGTATTTATACTTGAATTTTGTTCTAGTCCGATGAATATTAAGGTAACTTGATATTTAGATTTTTTTAAGTCATACGAGTGATGGAATGCACCCCCCACTATTTATAATAAGTAGCTTTCTCATTTTGTAGACGTGACAAAGAAAAAGGATTTCGTAACGATCGAAAATGAACCATTAACGAATAAAGAAAAAGAAATTCGAGCTGTATTTATAATATTTTGAGAAACATATACGCAACAAGTGGATAAATACAGAACAGAGGAAACTTTTATATAATTGATATTTTTCAATATTTCATTTGTATACCGCAAACGATTTGCTTTAAAGAGTATAAGAAAACCAAGAATTGATTACCCACTAAGGTCGCGAAGATATAAGGAAACAAAGGATTTAGCAAGAATCAAGCACTCGGATATTTAGACGATAGTTGAAGTTTCTGAAAAGAAAGTAATTATAGTTGTAAAACATTTTTGTGACTTGTTACAAATTTGAGAATTATAAAGCTTTTCCGAAGCGTTATGTCGCGTTAGATCAATTTACAGCTATTGTATTGAATCATATTAGGGTAATTATACCATTCTACTTCCAATTGAATCAATGTAAATAATAATCTCTTTTACTTCTAACAACGTTCTAAGGATTAAAAATGTTCCGAAGAACGAAATGTCGAAGGCATACGAAATTTTGGTAAATAATTAAAAAATTAAGTAAAAATGACTATGTGTTATAAAATAAACAGAAAAATAAAAATCGTTTATTTGTCATTCATTTATGTTCCACCAAATTTCATTGCAGCAATAGTAAAAAGTAAAAGCAGTTTTATTTATAAACATATGAAGGTACGTAACTATACTTGTTGCTGTCAATTTGACAGTTTAGTTTCGAATTATATCGTGTTACTTTAATTTCAATCTTGTTTAATTTGTTTTCAAGAAATGAGTTTATCATGGTTTCTGCGGAGGATTGCCTTTATACAGATACAACGGAAGCTTCTAACATAACGTCCTTGCAATCCGACAGTTCTGCGATCATTACTAATACGAAAGATTGCTTTCCCGAACCTATAAATAAGGAGACTGATGTTTTCAAAGAATATAATTGTACGTAATCCAGAAATTTAACGACTACTGAAACTTAAGCTGTCAAAATATCGTGTAAACTTAACAATTTAAAAAATGTAAATTAAGTACTATGCATATTAAGTTAAAGAATGTAAATGTCGCGAGATACATTCAACCGTAAACCGTGGTGTACCTCTGGAACAGCATGGAATGGCAGATACAGTGCAGCAGTCACCTAAGAAAGAGCCACTGATAGACCAGCATTCAATGCAAATTCAATCCACCATGCCATGTTTATGCCATGCCCGTGAGATGTAATGCAATCATTTCTATTCCATGTAGCAATTATTAAATTACCAATTCTTGTCTTCTTACAGTGCCTACACTTTACCTCTGAAATATAGAAAAGGTAACAACTGCAGCTATTTAAATCCTTTTACGATATAAACACTTGACATTTTTATTTCAAGATCCGTCGCATTCGAAACCATTTTGGTGTCCCTTTAAATGGAAATGGCCGAAAACAGGATGCTCGGAAAGGAAGGACACAACATATAAAGTAAAATTGAAGCAAACAAAGTGTCCTCACTATGCAGAGGTATACATTTTCACGTGGAAGTACGATTTCTTTCTTTCGGATTAATATTATTCATTATTATTATTATTATTATTATTCAGCCGTACATGTGCTGTGAGATATCGGAAGGTATACCAAACAAAAGAAAATCCGATGACCCAAAAATGACCAAACCGCCAAGAATCGAAAACAAACATATAGATAAAGAAATGGGGACAATGGAAAAAATCGAGATTTATTACTTCGACCATGGTAACTCTGCGTAGGTATAACCACACAATTGTTGTTATTCATTATTCGTGATAAAGGACCACTAAACAGGAATGAAAAAATTTCTATTAGTTATGTAAATAAAAAAACAATGTGACTTTATTGTTTTGTGTGACGCGTGCGTTTATCTAAGGCCTGTGTGACGACGCATTTGATACACCCCTCAAATCGTGTTGTCGCCATTTTTTTTTTTTTTATACAGTTACTATCGAACGACGGATTCACCACCGATATTAGCCACTGAAAAATGTGCAGAGAAGACTGACCAGGCGGCGACTCGTTTCTGGGCTGAGATATTCGGAACGATTCACATAGGCACCGCTTTCGTGACAGCGTTCATCCTGCAACTAATACGCTTCGTACTCTACAGCATAATTAGGCCACTCACCGTGGGCGTTTTGCAAATGCTCGCCGACTACTTTATAAAACCCTGTCTGTCGATCGTCTTCAACGCTCTTATACAACCAGTGTTGATATTATTGTACAATATAGCGACGTCTTTGAGGGATCTCTGCGAGCCTATCGCTGAGGCGATGGGTCTGTTCCTAAGGGAGTTCGCCAATGTATGCGCGGCGATTAGAATTGTAGAAGTGAAACAGTGTTCTCCTTCTGTTCCTTGCACTTAACGAACACATGCAAAGAAAAGTCGATCAAAGTTGACTGGTGAGTATGAAGGAGTTAATGCTATTCTAATTTCGTATCTACATATTTCGTTGTGAGGTAACAGGTGATAGAAAAGACGAGTAGACGATTCGCGATCGTTTCGCTGACCTCATCTTGGTTCTGAGAAGCAAGCGATGATGATTCAATGGTAATCCAGGAATACCAAGATGCCAACCAAACTAGATGATAGAACAGCCTAAGCGACACGAGTTTCAACGAATATAACACATGCCTTAACACCAGGTATATATTTGGTATTACTTTAACTTTACAATATTATTATCGTTTCATTCATTGTGGTTTCATTATTTTTTTTTCTCTTTTTTTTTACAGAACAAATTACTTCTTATAGCAACTAACTTTGTCAATAATAATCAATAATCATCCTTCGTCTCTTTCGTATATCTTACTGTTTAATAAATTATGTACAATCTCACAAACAACAAACGGAGGAACCTAATTACATCTTGTAGTTGTTCACACTTCGCTATGTACAGGTACTACTGGTTTTTACAGAACTGCGCTTTCGCTCCACCTGCGTGTAGTCATTTATCTATAAACTCGGTTGTTCACGTACTCTATTTAAAAAGGAAAAGAAAGAAAGAAAAAACCAAGGGAGAGTGAAAAGAAAATGGAGAAAAACAAACGCCTATCGTCACCTAGTCTCAGGAACTGCAACCTCTTGCTTGCTGTGCATTGCGATCTAAGTGGTTGTGGTCGGAGTTTCCTGGATGGCTAAGGTTTGTGAAGGCGCAGATGATGATGTCGAGTCACCTGCAATTAGAAGAATATGTTTAGCAAATAAGTACTAACGCAGTCGTTAATTATAATGAAGCACCTGTACACTCGATATAAATAAATAAATATATGCTAAAACCTACGTTTTAATTTAATTAATATCGTATGTCAGCTGGAGCCATGGTATCTTCGTGCGTGACAGTGTTAATTTTAGTGTAAAATGTGTTCTGATGATTTGGTCCTGCCAGTTTAAGAGAGGTGCCATATTGACCTCTTTTATCGCACCAAACCGGCAGACCATGTTAAGGTGACCTACTTTAAGTGGACCATCCTGTATAACCGAGTTGGCATTACTTGATAAGAAATGCTACTCTGAAGGCCACGTCAATCATACAGGAAGATAAGTTATACTCTATACACTTAAATACAGCGTCGGTTCCGATAAAGATTAATGGTACCACGTTGTTTCATTGAATATTGTTTATCTATACACGTACATGCATTGAAGAACCTTATTTTCAATACGTTAAGCAAAAACAGGGTTCGACAATTTTAATGGGCACGCTTTTATCGCAGGAGTGCCTCGACGCTCAAATGGCGAAACAAAAACATCAACAGTATATGGACGTTCTTAAGCTCTTATCTAGCCGTGCGTCATCCTATCCACTTATACAACCGTGCGATATTAGCGGGCTGGTATCAGTAGTATCACTATGTTATGTTTCCACTGAGACTCTGTAATCCTATTACGATAGATAAATAAATACGTGTCTCTAGTTTCTTTGTTAATGATGTATCAAAACGATAATGAGAACAGGGAATTCTCGAGCAATAGTTTTAATTAGTTGGGACGTTTCGCATTGCGTATGGGATACTTCGATAAAGCAACTAAGGAATAATGATAACTCTTCCAACTATACGAATACAAATGGCGAAAAATAATAATGTAAAGTATATACTTACACCGAAGAAAACGAAAAGTAATTACCGCAGTTATTAGTCCTTATTTTTTAAATGGGTTGGATATAATAAAAATATATACATTAAAAATTATACATTTCCATGCAGAGAAATTGAATTATATACACTCAGTCCCGTAAGTATTTGTATTCTTGATACTTGTGGGACTGACAGTGTATGTTATAGTGAATGTAATCTTCGTTACTACAAATTTATATACCATCCACTGTAACACGATAACATATATAAAAATAATATATTGAACGAGTATAAAAACTAAATATACGAGCAAACGTGAATCCTCGTATTCCGAGTTGGGGTATTATATAATAATATTGATGTACATCAGACAAAGCTTACCCAAGAGGGCAGCTTCTAAGTCCCCTAAGATCTCCGTCTCCTTGGGGTCGATAAGGTTGAAGCGTTGATTAAGCAGCGTGAGGTGGGCAAACACACAGTTGAGGTGGGCATGCAGCCCCAAGAGTGCTACCTCTCTGAAGTGGCAGTGGTAAATGTGTGCCACCACGTGGTACAATAGCCGCAGGATCTTACGCACTATCGATTCGAACGAGCTAGGAAATTCATTTGCTGGAACAATATGGAAACCGACCAATTAATGCGATTATACCTCCAAACGGCGCCCACACTTGCCAAGTTTCTCTTGCGAACCAACGCTACACACGCGATGTTTGTTTCGAATTTTGTAAATATAATCGTGAACTGGTAATAGTCGACGAGACTGATAACTCACCATATTTCGTAGGAAATATAGTTTCATCGCTAACGGTGCGTTGTGTAAAAGTCATAACATAATCTATATACTGTGGCGCTGCCACTCGCGTTTTCTTCCCTTTCTCGTCGAACCACAAATACGTCCTGAAACGATAAGAAAGCGAGTTACTCGTCTGTTAAACACCAATTGTTAGTAACATCGCCGTATCAAGTCGGAGGACGAGGGATCCGAAGTTTAATTCATTCCTACCTCCCCCTAGCGGAGACGGCGGGGATAACGTAGTCTCAACTCGGTGGACAAACTTCGTCTCAACTTGATGGACGCTACATTAGCAATTTCGATCAATTTAAAAGCGCAGTACCTTAAGCCAGGACCAGTCATGTCGGGACAGCCTGTCATGGTGCAGAACTCGGATATCGTCCCGTAAACGAGGTTGATATGATCGAATAGTGCGAGAGTGTGGGAGGCCAGCCACTCGTTATAGTCCAAGCCTGGCGGTAGATCGACCAACATCCTCAAGTCCAGCTCGGGCAGTTGCCTTTCGAGGGCCGCCTCCTCGAGGTACAGTTTCGGATCCTCTGTTGTTCCCGCATCCTTCTCCTTTCGTCGGGCTTTTCTACGAACAGCGTTCAAATCGCTCGTTTAGTTGCAATCGCCTAAAAGGCGGGGGAGAGAGCTCTACCGGTTCGTTCAAGCGATCAAGCGAATTGTTGCTTAGCAGAGGAAGCCCGCGTGACGCGGTCAACGCATCTACATAGATGCTCGGTGCGTTTGTTAAAAGAAATTCATTTTTAAAAGGCTTGGACCATTCGAATGATACATTATTTCAATACTTTTGTGATTGTGTGGTCGAGTGCTGTGAATAAATGACTAGTAGAATGCGCCATTATTCGAATATGCGAGCATTCGAGTAAGAAGGTCTTTGGAAACATCTCAATAGAGTATAATAATCAACGACGAATAATTCTGCGCATCTACCTTGCGCACCAGCGCCTCCTCGAGAATCCAAGCGACCTCCAACATTGGAAATGGAGGAGTTAAAGCAGTTCCGAGGAAGACAGAAATTACGTCAACGCGAGTAAGCGTTGCGTTCGCATGAAATACGAGCCACCTGGCGAGGGATATAGTGCACGATTACGTTAATGCGCAAACATCTTCCTTGCTCTCCTTCCTCGCTCAGGGTTACCCTGGCCTGCCTCAATAACGAAACCCGGAGCCCACTAGATTTCTCGTTGCCTCGAAGGTCACGTTTTGTTTATATTTCACGAGCATCCGCCACGGAGCTCGTGAAAGTTCTCAATTGAACAGAGAGAAGGCACGTATTCGACTAATTACTAGGGAGACAAAGCTGAGAAAAGTTCTCCAGTGAAATCAATGGAAACGGACAAGTTCTCAAACTCCATTGCACCGATTCTGTGCCGAGGGGAATCCTCGGTTCGAAACAAACATAAATGACTTCTGTAATTTATTATTACGGATCGTTTCTTTTGTTACGTAGGCGATGCATGACGCGATAACACTGGTTTTTATAAGTTAAAGGTAGGTGTTGTTGATGTCATAAGGCGTGATCCAGTCAGTCGTAGATCGCGGGGCTTTACCGTCTATGGCCTGGTGCACCGAGCATGAATGTTGCGAATGCAGTAGCTCGTTAGTAGATGCATTTGTCTCTGTTTCATTGTATGAAGTTGTGTGAATGTATTAGATTGTTCTAAAAGTTTCGTTTCGTCATGTTTTACGTTACGTTACCGAGTTGTACATGATCCATTTTCCTCTATCCACAGTGAAACCTTAACAATTGGTTCCTAACGACCGAAGAAATCCTTTATATCAGTAATCGTGTTGTAATCGAAACGACACTTTAGACTTGCAACACTCGCGTGACTCTGGGAAACGTCAATTATCGCGCAAGTATCAATAACCTCGTCGCGACACATAATTTGCGATAGACGCAATCATCACTGTACGAACTTCGCACGCTATATCTTTGATTATAGGGAAACGTAACGCGTGATTCGCTTGAAATTACATTCCATTGATTTCGGTGCATCCGACGACTAATTATCGACGAGACACGCGACGTTGTTCATAGCGAACTGTGAATGTCTTTTGTTCATAATAGTAGACATGGTAACCATAAACGGAATTTTTTATGTCCATGTTTAATCATTTTTCCTTTAATATAGCCACGTGAATCCTTTTCATCGTGATTAATTCTTTTTACATTTTCTGATAAGAATAAAATTCTTGTCAACGAATAAAGAGCAGGTCAGATTGAACGGATAAAAGTTGTTTCTTCATGGTTGCCGTGGTGGTCCCATCGAGGGCACATTACGGTCGACCAATGGAAAACAAATTGCAAGCCAGCGTGTAACTCGAAAAAGCAATCTCATTTCGGGACGAAGGACAATATTACGTTGCCCTAAATGTACTCCACTTTAGAGGCCGGTCCGCAACGCGATTTTCCCAGGCATTTCCTCTTCCCCAGCAAGTTTTGGAACACGTTCAAGCTCATTAGCCTGGTATCGCTAATACTGCCAGCAATATGTTGCTAGGATGTTCCTGCGCTCGCGTCGATTCTATCCTTCACCTGTCGGCTAGGCATAATTAGGAAATAAAATCTAATAGCATCGACGAACCACTTTATCTTGGCTCAATTTGACAGAACACCTTTCATTTTGACTCAAGTGTACAATTGTGTAGTTTATATTCGAGTTAAAGCACTTCTAGAGTGCTTGTTTTGATTATTATTAAATGTTATCGAATTCAAAAAAAATAAGGATCTGAGTTAATGGGGGAATCCAAAAACCTTCAGAAATGTTGCAAGTGAACCAGAATGAAAATAAAGAACTGAGTTGAAAGGATATCATAGTTTGAATTGCTTTTGGCGACAATTTTAAGACCAGGATGGTAAATAAATTATTCCAAACGGCAGAGGACACTTAGGGGTGTTCCAAGTGGACCAAACTCTAACTGGAGAGCAGGAAAACGAACCCGTACGGTTTTCAGGTAATCGCGAGTCCCGAGCAGGCTTGTTCCAAAATGTTTCGGTGCACTTGAGGAGAGAAGAGGCGCGACACAAGTGCATCGCCTCTTCGCCTGTCCGCTCGGGTGTCTTGTAATTAGCAAGTTTCCATCTAGCCGCTGAAATTGTGGCGTTTCGCGAACTGTCTCGCTGCCTGTACAGACCTAATTTAGCTTAGGCAGAATTAAACTTAAATTTAACCGAGAATAACTGGCGTCAAGACATAATAAACCGAAAGCTGACTAAATTCTGGCCGACCTGATGGCACTTAGTATCCATGAGAATTTTAAATCCAGTTTCAATCGAAACTTGTATGCGATTGCGTTTGAAATAGCTTGGAAAATAGATATACAAATTGTCAGCATCGTTTAAGAGATTGAAATTCAACACAGCATGACCAAAAATAATTCCACAGCACGTGCGGTCTGAATAAGTTAATTAAGTCTCGACGAGACTGAGTCGAAGTAACGTTCCCTGACCCGCTATCCGACATTCCCTTAATCCGTGTTTAACTAAAACAGAAGCCGCGATACAACTTGGATCCACCCTGAAACTAGCCACCGTTGATTTTCAGAGTATCCCAAATAACGGTCGATAGCCCAACGAAATTATTTTAGGCAATGCCTGGTAAATTGCAAAGTTAACGAACGTCCGCTAATTTAGACTTTGTAATATATTATCGAAATATATATAACGTATATTTTACATGAAGTAAAATTTGCTAAGCGGATGAATACTTATACAGTGGATTTAAGATCAAGTTTCAACGCCAATTAAAATAAAATTTTTGCAAATCCTCGTTAATAAACAAGTTATTAGTAACAAGGCGCGTGCAATGCGCGCCACATTTTTAATTGCGACACGCGACATATTTTATCAACGTCGCGTCACGGTCGTTTCTTGTTCGAAAAAAAAAAGTAATCATATTTTAATTAAAATTCACGGTTTGTCGCGTTGCAATGACACTGCACCGCCGTCATCGTATGCGTTGCTCGTTTGACGTCCAATTAACTGCGGAAAGATGATAAACCAAGGCTTTGCTGAGAACTTATTTCAATAATTATATCAATACTTTGCTAAGTACTCATTTCATAAATAATTACTTCGAAAATTTGTTAAAGTAAATATTTATCAAGTGAAGCATAATATCGTGATTATAAGAATTGCGAAGACAAGTATTAATGTTCCTGTAATATACTTTTTTTTCTAATCGAATGGCTGGGCCACTTCTGTCGGATGTTTTAGTATGCCAATCGATTAGGTGATGTAATTTCAGTCGAAACGAAACGACGATGAGCGTGAAAAAGTGACTGCCATCGGTCTGATAAGGATTCGTTCGAAATGTAAGGGAATAAAGGAACTTTAATCAATTAGTTATCGTCCGAGGAGAAGCCTCATTTGTCCTTAGGAACGCTGAGCCGGAATCGGGAACAGGGAAATGTCCATCGAAGACTTGGTGATAGATTAAAAGCGGATTGAATGGAGCCAGGTAGCGTTCGGTACCGTTCGACCGCTCGTACAAATCCGATAATTCGTTAATCTGATTAGCAGGCCAGTCGATTAAAGACGAAATGTTCTGTACGCGACGGGATTAACATAGTCATTGTTCACCAGACGCAATTACAAAGCTGGAACACGAATCATCCAGGCATCGACTACATCTGGAATTGGCCAGCGCTATTACCAGGTTTGATCACTGCAAATATTTAGGTATACCCTTCAAAATGAAACTATACGAATAATCGATAATTTTCTTACTAGAAGGATCTTATAAACTCGAATGGAAAACAATATCACGTTCTTACATAAGAACTTATTTGTAAATCCCTCAAAAATCATTCTAGTTATTCTAGATTCGAATTAAAATAATCGCGAGGCAATATTGTTACCTTGGTTAATTGCCACGAATTTCTCAACTTCCTTACCTTTGAGACACCTTGCAACAAGTTTGTAGGTCTACATGTAAAACGAGATGTACCGTCATGTTCTACAGGGACTGTAACCGATCCTACCTTGTCAATCTTGTACACCGAACTGTTCGTTCTGTATCTGTCAAGGTAGAATAATAAATAAAATAAAAAAAGTACTCGAAAGGTGGAAGTCCCAGCGTGTGGGAAAAATTTCCATGTATATGGAAGCATCGTAAATCGAACGTGCGTCGAATGTTCCAAGATTCGATTCCGTGGGATGGGATATATATATTGTGTAGAGCTGCCTAATCAGTTTCCCGCCATTCGTGAAAACTCTAATCGCATGCAATGATAACTGGAGGCAGAAAATTCAGCACGTCTACACTTGTCAAATGCATCAGACCTTTCCTCTACGAAGCTCATGCCGCTGGAAAGAAGCTACGCTTGGAGAAAACTGGCCCAACTCGTTCTTCCCCGCGAATTCTCGACGTCGTTCGCCTTTCCAATTAATTAAACCCCGATCCGACAACTGCGACGCACCTTTCTTTCATCGTTCCCTTCAACGTTTTGCCAGTTTTTGCCAGAAAGTCGCTAACTAAGTCGCTAAACACATCCAGTCGCTAGAGACAGGTCGTTGCAGACCATCGCTAAAGTCTACTCTGGTCTACTTAATAGTAATTAAATATTAACGATGATTAACCTCGACGGGGGATAATTAGATGTTCGAATCTGGTGGATGGTTTGATAGGACTTTGCATAATTGTTGGCTAATTAGTCTAATTAACTGCGAGTAACCCTGTATTCCGTGAATGATATTGTATCGTCCAAAACAGACATTATTTCTTGGATACTTTTATGGTTTCTTTTTATTAAAATCAATCACCTTAAACATCACATGATGATAGAAGCTTGTAAAACAAGTAACTTCACTTTTATGAACGGTAGCATATTGAACTGTACTCTTAAATATTCAATTCCACGAGTATCGAATCGATACTATAGATCCTTTTATCTACCAATTCGTTTCTCCCAGCAATTTTTCTCAGAGTCGTCGGTTGGTTCAACCGCAATGTACATTCAATCGGTTCCTCGACTCTTAGGTCGATTCCCCTCGATTTCCATCGACGAACAATAAGAAAATGTCATGGAAAATGTTCTCAAATCGGACTGTTCTCGCGAAAACGGTCGTTTGGTCGCGTGATTTCGTCGAAACGGAAACAGAAAGACACCTAAGATCGACCAGCGAAGCGCTAAAACGAGAAACGCTTCGTTCCTCGGTGCGTGATCGGAGAACTATGCCATGCAAAAACATAATTAACGATTTTCAGCCGGCCATACACAGACAGGCGTAACAGGGTTGGCCTGGAAATCGTTCAACTGGAAACGAGGCGATTTACCGTATTCGAATTGCTCTAAACGATGAAATCATTTTTCTATTCGCTTCTTAAACTATACTCTTCAATTTCCAAGTACAATCAGTTACTCTAAAAAAGATAAACACACCGAAGAATTCACTTTCTCTCGGGGATCTTTGTAAATTATTTGGATACACTTCGCTGTATGGTCCACAAAGACGAATTTTCTCCGAATAAAAATTATTTTAATTCGCCTTAGTGGAAGAATCAACCCCGTTTCTGATTGCACTGTTATTTTCGGCCAACTCTTCGCACGGAGTGCAAAATTAACAAGTGTTGCAGATGATCTCCAAAAGTAAAGGATTCGTTGAATTTTATTTGGTACGAAGTAGCTTCATTTTTCTCATGGTCCTTTCGTGTCAAACAAAATGCGATCAGTTCCAATAATTTCAGAGACCAGTCTGTTACATCTACTATTTTACACCTTGCATACAGAGGACGTCCGCAAACGAAAGAGTTGTGGTTTATCGGATAGGAAATGCAATTTTTTACTAAAAAAGGTTCCAGTAGACGTTCAATGGTTCTTGAGCAATCTTAGGTATCGTACCTTGAACGCCGTGTGTTATTCCTTGTACGGTAAAAACGAGCCTGTTATCTCTGAACAAGTCCAATCGATACAAGCGCAACAATGATAACCAGGCTCGAGTTATTTCTGTTGCTCGATAATGACAAATTTTAACAAAGTTACAGAATAGAAAGTGTAATAGTAACAATAGAAAAACAGTTCATTTTTAGTTTATCATTTCCTTTTAATTCGTCTAGATGGGAATTTCGCCCATCTCTGGTAAAAGCGAATATACCTTTATGCACGCGTAAGTTGTTATTCAAAGTGCGTCACGTAATTGATTCAGCTCGTGCTTCTTTTTCCATTGAAGATAAAAAAAGAACGATAAAAAAAAAAGTTAAATGGTATAACAACAAGGTCTACTTTCCTACAATCTCCCTCGTTCGATAGCAACAACAGTGCACACGCAAACTGCAGTTATACTTCTTTCCTTTAAGTATAACAGGATTTAGTGGAAGTTGTTCGATGAACGATAGACTAGACACTATTCGTATTTGATTCGGAATAAGGCAGTACTTTCAATCCACTGGAACAATATTTATTAAAAATTGCACTCCCCCCCCCCTCCCACGCTCTTCCGAAATATATTCAAGCTAAACGATTTGGCCGTTCAAGTTTGCTCCCTACTACTGAGGCTTTTGTTAGACACGCCCTCAATTTCCCCACCATTCAGCTTAACCACGTGCTCTTGTGCACAGTGCGACACAAAAGCGTGATTATTCTTTCTCTGTCAGCAAGGGAATGCAACCCCTTTCTCAACGATTCCTAAGGCACTAAAACGTAGTTATCTTAGTTGTTAACCACCTTCCCTTGCTGGCCAATAGAAGTAAAATGCACCACAGTGGTGGAGCCAGTAGCAGTGAACTCGAACGGCCAAACCATCCTGACCAAACTCAGCGTTCTTTCGTTGGAGGGCCCTCTGGACGCATATACATACACATAGAGATCTAGACGTGACTAGACGAGGGACTCACGCGACAAGCTCGCCGAAGAACCTGATCTTCCTGTGGCAGGTGTCGAGAAGGGAAAGTCGCGAGGAGGCAGTGGAGCCGCTGGCGGCGGCGCCGTGGTGGACCGGCGTCGGCGGCGCCGACAGCGTCGAGGACGTCGAGGCGGAAGAATCCTGGAGGACGACGCGCGCCGGTGAGCGCAGCATCGCCGTCGTGGTGATCGTCGTTGTGGAGGACGATCTCTTCGGCGCCCCGTCCTCGTGCCCGAGGATCTTTTCACGTACGCTGGGTATGCACCAAATCTTGTTCGGTTCTCATTGAACACCGCCCGCGACACCTAATCGCCTGGTGTTCTCGCCCGTTTACCCAACGACTTCCTCAAGGAACAAGAAAATTGTCCACGTGCGTTTTCCTTCCAAACGGAAAGAATTCTCACCCTTGTTTCTTTCAAACTGTTACTTCCACGAGTTCTTAGACATTTTCGGAAGTATCTTTCGCATAGTACTCAAACCAGCTTTATTTATAGCGGATTTCACAGGCGTTCATGGTGAGATCCTCTTCTGGGTCGAGGTGAAACGACATCGAGAGCATGTCCACTGATTCAGCATTGGTGATTAACGACGGAGGCCGAGGAACAGTGCTTTCGAGGAAAATTGTGGTCAAAGGCAGACCTCGATTGTTATCCTTGGACTGGGTGCGCCCCCGATTTCGTTAGCACGACAGGTATTCTGGGGAACAATCGTTGGCCTTTGCCTAACGGAGATCGTCTCATTGGCAAGTTTAATATTTTTCGCTGCACTCTATACATACCAAGTGTAATAAAAATCAGAGATTGTCAATTGAATGACGTTCTTTCTAACAATAAATAAAGATTAGATGCTAGCACCGTCGTCTCGAGATCGGTACTCACCTAACAGGACTTCTCCGATTGGAAGCGTTGAACGATTATTTTGTAAAAAACATTTCAAAATATCGACTGAATTTAATATAACTGCACTTCGTAGACGGAACTTTGTTTGTTGTTTGGTTTTACCGTTTAGGAAGACTTAGAAATATCGAGTCAAACACCTGCGTGATCGAGAGAAAGGTACAGAGTTGAAAAAATAGTGGGAGTTAAAAGAAAACATGTGGTACAGTTCGATAATTGTAACAAATTTTTGTTCCAAGGAATCCAAAATTTAACCGCCCCTTCTCCTCCAAAGGTTAACTTTCAATTCTTTTTTGATCGAAAATATGAATTTGCATAAACATCCGCAGTCTAGGGATATGCAACGTAGGGACTGAATTCCCTGGATTCCATTTTTCGAGAAATGTAAACGAAAATTCACATTAGTCACAGAATGTTCCAATATCATCCAGCAGCAATGATATATCGCTGGACGAATGGGAAACGTTCGAAAAACAAAAGGGAATGAGGCACGTAGGACCTCGGAACCAGGGAATCGTAGAACCTCGGTACCACGGAGACGATCGCGATTACGATTCCTCCGCGGATGTTTCCACTTGACCATATCTCCCCATCCTTCTCTATCTCGCCCCTTTTCTGGTTCTCTGTCTACCTCTCTCCTGAGCAGGAATGCAGAGGAATTTTTCGAATATGCGCTACTGGACCAACGCCAAACACTCGAACGTGGCGGCGTGACTTCGTCGCAGATTGCTTTGGTATCTTTAGAGGATCCGAACGCGACGTGCAACGACGGGGCGCGAAAAAACCACCCTAAAAATCGACCCATCGCCAGTGGTGTGACTAGGAAGCTAAAATACTTCAAATGGTAAATAGACTCCTTAATCGTAAATCGTATTCTAGAACTGCTTAAATTTTTTAATTGCTCCAGTTCTCAATGAAAGATTTCGTTACGATACCGAGGACGAATCAAGGCCCATCGATTCTTGGTATTCAAGGTATCGACCCATAAGCGTCTGCTTCAACTCGTTTAAGTGTTTCACCGCCAGTGTTTCAAGAATTGATCCTCACGAGAAACATTATCCTGCTACTAAAAGTCTGATTATTTTTTCACGCGTTACATCGAGCAGTAGCTATAAAAAAAGGAATATACAGAAAATGGTTGGTTCGCGGAACGGAACGAATCTTTGGCAACCAGGCGAGCGGTTAATTCTTTTCTTTCTCTCTTTCTCGAGCGGAAATAATACAGTGTTCTCTATGGTGGCTTGGTTGGTGATCCGTGGCTTCCTACTACACGCGTGCTGAGACGGAAATAACGAGTGCGCGTCGAATGTAAGCAAGACCATAAATTCGGCCCGATTTATCGACCCCTCATGCGCGATTAAAGAAATGCCCACCTTGAGCATCTACATTTCGCACAAAGTGCGCCCGTATCCTCGATATTTATCGCTCAACGTTTCCGTGGTAGCTTTTGCTTCTTTATGGAATTCTCCGATAGAAGACGACACATAGTTTTATCCTCGTCTTACGAAAAAGGTTTCGCGATTAATGCACTCCCAAAATTCGTAAGTTTCCCATTTACAAAGTTCAAGGGAGTACATGCATTTATGTGAAACGAGATATTAAATTAGTATGTTGATTAACGGATTATATTCAGCATACATTATGTATAATTTCTGTATGTTTTTCATTTTACTGTTCATAAATGAATAAAATTCCGCAGTCTAATCATCATATTGTAAATAATGGGGCATTCTAAGTGTGTTTCAGTGTGATGGCTGTCACTAATGATGATGAATCCTATCTTCATTAAACTAATCGGGATTAGCAAGGTTTTGCGTGGCCTATCCATTGTAGGGCTAAAGAAAGACCAGTCTTCAAAGGGGTTGCAGTGCGTATTGGGTCAGACGCTCTAGTTAGACTTCGCGAGGTCTGTGTCTGGCCAAATACCTCTGCCCTGTCCTTATTCTACTTACTCGCTCTATCGTACTGTGGGAGCTGCGAATTATAAACATATGTATAATAATAATTACACGATGGCATAACAAGCCTTTCATCAGACACTTTCGACCATTTATTTATGAACATCTTCGATCATTTAAATTGTTCCATATAATAAAGAAATTACGTGTAACGGAATAAGGCACGTTGAGTAGAAGATGGTTCCTTTTAAAGAAAATGAGAAATACAAAGGAAAAGAGAATCCTTTTTAATAACTCGAGTGGCTATAAAACTCCTTACTTAGCTACCGCTGTTTGTCTGGTTTATAAAGGAAAACAAATGTTTCAAAGGTAATGAAAACTGAAATTGCGAAAACAAAATTAGCCTGATCTTTCTTTTCTCCAAGCATACAGAAGAAAACAAACTAAAGCCCCGTTGGCTTGAAACGACGTCGAATCGAAATATCCTTTCTAATTTCGACGCTGAAACGTGAAAATGATATTTCGCGTAACGCGACTACGTGAAATATCTCTGATCCAAACGCTACAAGATTAATGACATTCGATCATCAGTATTCTGGTCGAAAGTCGCTACGGTATAAATAGATTTTTCGTCGACGAAGGCAAGGTCAATTCCAACGGTGGCAACAACAATTTACATAACCAAAGAGGGAAAGCAACGAGACGCGCGTTCTTGCGGTAATTGGATGAAAGTATTAACGATGTAATGATGCAATGTAACAAAACCATTTTCGGAGCGTTGCACAAATTGTATCATCAGGGCTTATGTTTCGTCGTTGAAAATTTTCCCTGAGGGATCCGGTGTGACGATCAAAAAATTAAGCTTGTGCCTTTCAGAAATTTTTGTCAACTCTATAAAATAAAGAACGACTCCAATATTGTTTCTAATGATAGTATTGTTTAAAAAGAGTATAAAAATATTTTTGTACGAACATTACAATGGTGATGGTTTAAGTTAAAGTACCCAAATGCATTCATGAACCAAGCCTGGTCCGCGATGAGAGACTATCGACTTTCATCGAGATAACAAGTGAAATGTCCGAAAGTGTTAGGAAAATGAACGTTACTTTGGAAGACGTGTCGACAAGGATTTAATTCTTGGCGATGCTCGGCCGTCGGATTGGGTCTCAAAGAAATTCGATTCCAAGTTAAGAATACGCAATCAAGGGACAGCTACCAAGTTCTCTTGCATCCTTTTACCATCAAATTACGTGGAAATTGCTTCTCAGCGTTAAACTTGATGACTGTCCGAATAGCGTTTTCTATCTAATTTCTTGTTTGCCTTTTATTCCTCGATCGTGTAAGCGCTGGCTCGATAGAGCAACGCTAAACGGCTGAGATAAAGTTGAGTAAAGATGAGCAGAGTCGTGATACGAGCTGTGAAATACTTTCTTATCCGCGGGAGCGTTTCTTGTGTCGATAAATCGAGACTATATAATGTTTTAAAAGGTTCAATGTTGAATGTCTCGCAATATTTGCTAATGTGAAACTGATTTAACAAGAACCACGATGAAGATATTTAAAATAACATCCATTGTAAATATTTATGTACTAATTTCTGCTTGAGAGAATCAAGCTAACAATTTCCCATCAAGAAAATGATATATTTCCCTTGTAATGGTTATTGAAATTGAAACTTTGCGTGAAACCAAGCAAAACCCAGATACACCTGCTGACAAACTTGCGTGGAGTTGCTCCCATTTATTGAACGTATAACGAACGGAAGAACAACAATCGTCGGTGCACACTCTGAACAAGTTGAAAGCTAAAACTGATGCAGTGAGAACACCGACGAAACATTGGCCTGGCAGAAACAAGAACTTCCTTCTACAAACGGTTCTCGTAACGAGTTTGTTAACTAGCAGAAGGGCTAACGCTAGCGATTGGTCTTGCGAGGGTACTTCTTCGTACATTCGAAAGATAAACGTCTCCCAAAGAGTTCTAGAAACGGCTCCGTAGTTACGTTGCAACGTGATATGCAATTGCTGCTCAACTGTGAATGTAGTAGGAAAAAACGAGAATGGAGATAGAAATAACCGAGAGCTTGTTGCAAAGTGGGAAGAAAACAGAAGAAAATAATATGTATATATATTTTTTCTTAATTAGCGATAGAGTGAAAGTCGAGGGTATATATATTCTTTTAATTGGCAATAAAGTCAAGCTTGAAAATATGTGTTTTCAAAATTAGAAGTAAAGTCAACCTTGAAAGAACTGACGCTACCTTATTTCCCAAGATTCTCGGACAGGATGACTTCAGTGATACATCACGTGAGCAAAAACTGTCTGACCTAGTTTTCTCGTACTGCTCCTGTCAATGGTTGACTGACACGTCGAGACACCTGATCGAGTACTCAAACCCGAAGAGCATGGCGTCCATTACAACTATCCAAGAAAATCAAATTTACTTGAGACAGAGGGGGGAAGGGGGGGGTGAGGACTCGTCATACTTGCCAGGATACCCAAACAAGATAGCTTCATCAAAGAAGCGTCCTAGTTTCATCGCCAACATCTCAGCGTCCTTAACGAAAGGGAACACTCTTGAGACTCCAAACATCATTCCACGGATGAATTAACTAATTACGCGAGGGAAACACTGGTGCATTGGCCAACTCGTAATGTGTTTGCGATGAAGGGGACTATTTAGAATGCACGGGATGCAATAATTAATTAACGTGGACTTTGCCATCGCAGGTTATCAAGTGGTACTTGCCAGGATACCCTTTGTAGCTGAATGTCTTTCTGATAAAACGGTAATATTATTTTCAGTGTCATAGTGTCGTTCAAGATGACCCAGAGATGGCCAGTGATCATACTGATTATACTAGTTGCTAAGGAATCATAGTTACGAATTACGTCTCACTCAACTTTGCAATAGACTAATACGAAGATTGTGATGCAAAAAACGAGAGTAGTCTCGTTTCTTCATTAACATCTT